TGCTCCTGAATGAGGTACCATAGGACAGCTCTTTTGCTGTAAGTTTTCAGTAGTCTGCTAGTACTTTATTCTGTTCTCTTTCTTCAATCTGGCTCTTCCTTATAGGTACTTCACTCTCTTTCTGCTTCAACCTAGCTCAACCCTAGACCATGGCAGAAATAAAACTTTACTTTTCAAACCAGTTTTCACTTCCTTACCTATTAATTGTGTCTGCAGGCACATGCTTGAGATGCTGTGCCTGTGGAGGACAGAGCGCCTTTATGGAGTCAGTTCTCTCCTGTCACCTTGTGGGATCTGAGACTCAACTGAGGTCATCAGGCCTGCAAACAAGCCGGTCTCCTGAATTTCAAAGAAAACTACTTATCTTTATGGTAAACAGATTAATCAGGTCATAATAGATCTGAGTTTGCCTGAAAACTTACAGGAAAAATTTCCCTTCAAAACTGGAGAGCTGAGTTCAAGAGCAGCCTTTACTACACAGTAGAACCCTCTCCTTCAAACTAATAATAATAATTTATTTTAAATTTTAATATGATATAGGCTTTTATAAAGAAGAAAAAATGTTTTGAATTTGAATTAAGCTAGACAGATGGTATTTTCTGAGCTGATGAATTTGGGGACTCTGATGTGGTTTCATGACAAACTTGGGTTTATCCTTCTGTTGTGAATCGTGGGTACCTTAAGTAAGTACTGAGTGCTGAGACAGCTGGAGAATCAATCTCGGATTTCCTTGCTTTGACTTGTTTGTGGAAGGCACCATGGTAATTCGTGAGAAAATAAGAAACCAAGTCACTGTTGTAGGTGAAACTGTCCCCTTAGCAGCCGTTTTAGTCAAATCAGTGTAGATCTGTTGAAATTGAGATTATGAATATGACTTTCAGGATCCTTAATCCTACAAAACATCTTCTCCGGGGCCACCTCCATTCAGGTCTGTCCTGTTCTTTTGCCTTTATCCTACAAGTGCAGTGGAAATCCTGGAGGTGGAAGTAAAGTTCTAATTCCTCCCAGAGCCCTCAGCATTGCTGTAGAAGACAGCCACTTATTTTAACTGTTTAGTATGAAATAAAGCAGGTATATAAAGTACACAGAGTTAAACTAGCCAATTATAGTTAATATATACCTATGTTGAAGCAATGTAAATTTAGTTCTATAAGCTTTGTTTGAATTAACAGCTTGATGTGACCAGGGAAAGTTAGTAATGTTGGGACCTACAATGGTGGAATTACGGAGTTCCCAAAAGGGAACTGATGACGCAGTGGCCTCACACTGCTGTGCTCACAAACCATCCACATGTCAGTGTGCCTTGACAACTAGAGCTTTATCTGTGTGAACACAGATAATGGGGGAGGCATTGCTACACATACAGCAGCTTCATTGATCTTCATAGTAAACATGCCAGTTTCTCATATACGGTTACAAGTGAGAAACAGAGTTACAGAGAGGTATGTGATGTGGAAAGAGCATGGACCTCAGCCATGGGTTGTGTAACATCTATAGGCTTCTGTTGAAGAGGCTACATGTTTTAAAGCAACTTGTTTCATTTTCTCACTAGAAGGGTCATGTATTATGGTTGATACACACTTTACAGAATTTCTTGTCAGTCAGAAGTGGCAGGATTAGGCTTAAGGTCTACATTATTGGATTCCTGGTATTTTTTTTTTAAGGGCATTTTCCTTTTTACACATGCCCCTGGAATTACTGCTGCCATACATATTTATCACATGTGGCCAAGGCCCCAGAGGTGGTCACTCAACAGCAGAATCTATGAATTGAGACATAGAAGCCTGTTCTCCTGAGAGAACTATAACCCACCAGTCATTTGTAAGAATATACTCACAGAGAAGCTTAGTCTGCAAAGGTTTGACTTTGAACCTATAGATAATAACTAAGTGATAATTTCCATGCAGACTCTGGCCCAACAGATAGAAAGGTGTAACTGTGAAGTCTCCATACAGATTAATATTATGATTGGTATATTTAAATAAGGCACAGTCAAGTTGTTTCTGTATTTTTTGCGAGTAAATTTGCAAACAGATGAGAACTCTGGGGACAGAACTGTATGAGCTAACAGAACCATTGCATTAGGAGTACAGAGTACCAATTAGTATATGAACCATCAAACTTGTATCTTTCCTCTAAGTTGTATCTGCTTAGTTCAGTCTTAAAAGACATCATAAGGCTGTTTTCAGCAAGGTAGTCTTGGCCAGAAAATCTACAGAGCCACACTCGCTAACAGAACTGGCATACTCCAGAGCAGACTTCATTCTTATAAGCCAGAGTGTAGTCCTGCCTGAGAGACCTCGGTGGTGCAATTCTGTGTGGACGGAAACAGACACATACAAGTCACAACATGTAACAATTTCTTTTTAACCTAAAAATATTTCAAGGTGGTTGAACTTTTATCACAAAGACCACACTAATTATCTCAAGGCATACTTGGAGAACAGATGAAAGGAAGATGTGATACAACAGTTAGGATCCTGAAAGAAGTGGGTTGCATGGTGTAGAATATGCACGACACTGACAAAGAGGGGGCAGTAACAGACTAAAAGCATTGCCCTCCTACATGAGATCGTAAGAGTTTGTATAAAAAAACAAAACTTTGTGCTTTGTGTTACTTGACTTGAGATCTATTGCAATCTCTCAGGTAAAGAAGAAAATCAAGTTTTCTTTTCTTTTCACAGTGCAGTAACCTATTCTGGAGTCCATCTGTTGAAATGCTTTATAGCAGATATAACAGGAAGTCTTAAGTAAATGTGCCCAGAGTAGATGATGTTTCAAAGTTCTTCATGTCAACTGGAGTTAAACACCCAGAAGAATGCCAATATTGTTTTAAATATTGTGCATCTCAACTTGAAGGAGATTCAGCTTTAAAACCTGCATTACCCTGAAGCAAGAACAAATGTGTTGGGGGTAATGGTTACAAATAATTAAATCATATTGTTCATTAGGACAGATGCTAGCTGGCTTTTCTATTTTAACTGACAAGTCCAAGAGCATATACAAACCCATGAATTGAGACCCTGCTTCTATGTAGAGGTTGCATAAATTGGGTTTTTCTTTTATAAATGTCTACTGTCTTTAATGCTATAAATATGAACTAGGTAAAGAAGAGGGTGCCTTCTGTAAAGCACGCATGTGTTTTAGGAAGTAAATGGTTGTGTGTATGCTTATAACTCTTCTGGTTTTTATGTGAATATGGAAAAAAAAAACTTGTCATACCATGCAAACACCAGTCATGAGAGTAGACCACAGGCTTGATGATCAGAGTCCAGAGTTCAGGTTCTCCTTCTAGTGTCCTTGGGAAGCCCACTTGATGTTTCCTCACCTCCGTGGTGGCTATTGGCACCTTAGCTATGAAAGCTAACAAGTTATACTGATAACAGCTGCATGTTTACAAACCCAAACCAACCACAGAACACAGCAAAACTCATAGGCTTTTATCAGAGAAGACACCCCACCTTGAAAGAAGTAGAAAAAATTAACAGGAACTAGATTTAAGTGAAGAAATTCATTCACAAGTCAGTGCGATGATTTAGAATCACTGCTAGAGATTCTGAATGGGAAGACTAGCTTTGGCCTGCAGCTCACAGGAGGAAATCTTACAAAGACATCAACTCTTCATGAAGTTTCTTAGCATTTCAAAGTGAGACTGCTGTTAGAAGTTATAGCTGTGGTAAGGCTACCGAACTTTGTGGCTTTTTAAAACCCCAATTGTAAATGTTTCCATTGGTCAACAGTTGATAGAATTAGTCTATTTTACCCTAAGCAGAAAAAAAAGTTTAAATTTTTTTTCACAAAGCAAAAGATAAATGTCAAAATAATTACATTCAAAGCCATCCTTCTGTCAATGCTTCCCACAGTGGCAGACATGAGGTGATCAGAAAAAGGGGCAGTGGAGTGGAAGGACTGTTTGCCCAGCATGCCGGGCCACCACACAGACTTTCTGAGCATTCTCAAGACGTGGACCTCTAGTGCAAGGGAATGTAGTTCAGTAGTAAAGCGATACCTGGCATAACGAGGCACTGGGTTCCATTCCCAGAGACCAGAGGATGAGGCAGGTACACACCTCTTCCCAGTTGTACAGGCCCAAGCACCCAGAGATTCATATGCTTATATATGTATACATACACTATACACACAGATCACACATTCTAAAAAGCCTAGAAGCCAGGACAGGTCCCCAGAGCAGAAGGCAAGGTCCAACCCTACTCAACAGGGGTCAACACAGTGGTGTCAAGAGGATTTGAAAGGTCACAAATTCTCATACACTGCACTTACAACTGAACACCTAATGCTCCTTTCAGACCTTATCTGCGAAGCTAGGAACTGGAAGTGGTTCAGATTACGGAATTTGGGGCTGTTTGCAGACTTTAATAGGAGAATGCTCCAAGTCCAAGACTTCCAAAATCAGAAATATTCAAACTTGTAGCTTTCTTGAGCCTCACAAGTGTGGTCCATTTCAGAGCAGAAGGCAGCTGTGTCCTAGCTGAAGTGAGTATGCAAAGTCCAGATTCACACCCTACCACTCACACCCTTGGGCCTTTGAAGCAAGTGTCCTGTTGTGCCTGAGGTTTCAGACTTGCAGGCCTGTGTTGTCACTGGACAGCTGGTCACTACAGAGGACAAGGGGAGGACTCACTGTGTTTTCTCTTAAGTTTATCATAACCTCCTGCCCCTTTCTGGCCTGCAGGGCCCAGCAGGTGTCACATGACTACATTACCTTTTCTCATGGGTAGAGCAGCTCATTTTAACTCATGACTGTCATTTCCAGGAGCAGTCAGCTGTATAGGTATGTACAGATAATCAGGTGATGGCACTGATACCTGGTTTCAAATTGATGATTGGCCTTATTCCTGGCATACACTTAGCTACTTTTTTTGTGTCTCATAGGAACAATAAACAGGAAAACACCAAAAGCTTTTCCATATATCCCCTTAGCAGTTATGGTGACAAAATGAAGATTAAATAACGGTTCTAAGCATTGGAGTAATGAAAAATCTTTTGATAATTCATTTTTAATAACATAGCATACACTCACATTTGTTATTCAAAAGGAAGACCTGGGCAGGTGAGATGACTCAGCAAACACATGATGCTATGCCTGAAAATCTGAACTTTCCACCTGTAGTGGCTTGAACATGCTGGCCCAGGAATCGGCACTATTAGGAAGTGCGGCCCTGTTGCAGTAGGTATGTCCCTGTGGGTGTGAGCTTTAAGCCCTTCCTCCCAGCCCATCCTGTTGCCTTCGGAACAGGATGTAGAACTCTAAGCTCCTCCTGCACTATGCCTACCCAGATGCTGCCATGCTCCTACCTTGATGATAATGGACTGGACCTCTGAACCTGTAAGCCAGCCCCAATTAAATGTTGTCCTTATTAAGAGTTACCTTGTCATGGTGTCTGTTCATAGCAGTAAAACCCTAACTGGGACAGCACCCCTTGGGACCCATTGGTGGAAGGACAAAACCAACTCTCACAAGTTACTTCTGATATCCACGTATATGTACACACCCTTGCACAAAATGTAAAAACCTTAAAAAGGGAATTTTTCATGAAGGATGTGTTCCTCAGACTGTTCATCATATTTAACACCTTGCACAGTTAAAGGCAAATACTCACCATCTGATTAACTTATACAACACTGCTGTGAATGTTTATTGAACTGAATACACTCCTGTGGAATACTGTACAGAAGCAGCTCTCAGCCTAAGCAGTGTTTCCAGATCTTAGCAATATCCCCTTAAAGTAGCAGACCACTGGACCAGCTTGTTAGCTGCTCAGAAGTTTCACATAAGTACATCTAAACTCCCATCAAAGCAAAAATATCATCAATGTCATCTGTCTCTGTAGCAGTGTCTGGGGCATTGTGTGTGTGCATCTGTCTCTTCGTCCAAAAGCCAGATTTGTTTCCACTGCCCCCTGCAAGATTCCCATGGATCCCCATCTTCTTTGTTTTTAGGTCAGGCTTTGCAAGTTTTCTCAAGACCTGCTTTCCATTAGGACAGACATCTGACGTCTGAACTGTCCCAGAGCATCTCCTCTTAGCACTGCTGTCCCTAGTGTTCTTCAGAGTCCCTTCAGGGACCTGCTGGGTTTTCTTTAAAAGAGTTGACTGTAACTTTCTCTGCGGTTTCCTTTGTCTTGATAAAACTTTATACTTTGATCTTCTTTGTCTGGGAGGATGCTTTGAAGTGCTGATACTACAGCCTCGGAGAAGGCAGTTGCAAAGAGATGTTTTCATGCACTGAAGCTTCTTCGGCAAACTAAAGGACGAAAGAGAAAAATCTCAACTTATTATGATACTAAGAGGTTCTCAAGCACTTTTAACTGTCTCTACCAATTTCCAACAGAAAAGTACACAATTTATTACAAGTCCTAGGCCTGTATATATGTACAACCCCAAACATACAAAAATAAGGAAATGAGAGGTTCAACCTAAGAGGATTTTTTTTTCATAGCCTGATTCCCTCTCTGATTCAGGATGCAGGCAGATGTGCCTCCATTTTGCCCCAAAGTAACTCCCATTAACTTCCTAACAAGGTCACAAATGGTGTGACCTTGCTCACAATTAAGAACCATAGCCTTCCCCCTCATGCTGATAACCTGTTCCTAGGTAAACAAGAGTGGATATGGCAAAATATTATAAATGAAAAGCTCTGTGGTGTGTCAGGATCCGCATCTGGCTAAGCTCATGTCAGAGCAGGAAATGAACAGAGGGAAGGAATAAAATGAAGAGTTATCTGGCGAAGACAACTGACCCCTGTGAGGTGCCCTGTGTGTTGTTCCACATCCCCCTCAAGCCTGCAGTCAGAACTCACTTTATCACTACCTCACTTCTCTCACCCCCTCAGCCAGCTGTGCTGCTGCTGTCTTCAGAAGGCCACCTACCACAAGATTAAGAGCCCCTGAAGACCAAGGCTGCCCCATGCTGTTGCCCAGGCTTTGAACACCACAGGCAATCTTAATGCTTTCTGAAATGAACCAGTGGGAATGACATAGTGTAATGAAGTCCAGACAACTGTCAGTTCACTTTCTTCTCCTGACACGACCGCCCAGATAACCTTAGCAAACACATAAAACTGTACTTTGAGTAGGTCTTGTTCTAGGACCCCAAGGGCTGTTAGCTTTTAAACAAAGGAGGCAATGCACTTGTGTACACTTTCTTACTGAAAAGGGAAAGGAATTTTTCTAATGTAATTACCTACAACCTTGAGATTCCACATGTCTAAGCCTATTGCTCTTAAGAAGTTTGTTGCCCAGATAGGTGGCCTGAGCCTTGAGCTTCTTGCTCCGGGACCACACAATTGCCGTTTCGATTTCCTCAGAAAGTTGGGTGAATGTCTTGGTCATTCGGATTCTTTGCACAATATTGTTAGCCCAGTGAGTTCTCAGTTTCTGAGAGGAAAGTTTGGTTGTCTTCAGTTTGGATTGAGAATATTTAAACTTCTGGTTAGTCTCCTGAAGTGTAAAAAGGTGAGAAAAAAGATATTGAAAATAGTAATGACTTGTAAATAAAGGAAAAGTTTTGAAAAGCTGATCCATTAAAAAAATTAAAATAATTTTTTAAGGACACTTTTAATCCCTCAACCTTTCCTTTTCATCCATTCTCCTAACACTGACTCTTTTTATCCTTCTACAAAGGCAAGTCCTATCTGCCTTTTAATGAAGTGTACACAGGAAACCCAAACTACTATAACACAAATATGTAACACACCTTCACACACACTAGAACTGGTTAAATAGTAGTCAAGGTCTAATGATGAGGGAAAAAAATCCCAAATCTTTCACAATGACATCATGTAACTGTCTTGTTTTCTTGTTTGCTTATCAGGGAGGTCATTTTTATTTTTGACTTTTTTTTTTTTTTTACTGAAAACTGAACTTAGGACCTTATAAATACTTGGCAAGTAGCCTATATCCCCAGCCCTTTAAAAGTTTTGGGTTTTGTTTTTTTGTTTTTGGTTTTTGCTTTGTTTTGTTGAATTCTGAGACTCGGCCTCAACAAGTTATCCAGGCTGATTTAAACTCAGTCTAGTCTAGTTCAGAGAGGCTTTGAACTTGCCATCCTCCTGCCTCAAACTACTGAGTAGCAGACATAACAAGGCTATGCCAGTAGGCCTGACTTGGAGTACATTTGTTTTTCACTTATTTCCATCACCCCCAGGAACAATCCTCAAGAAGGGTCATAAATGTTACTGCAACCATAAAGACAGGGAACACTGGAAAGTGCCCAGCATGAGAGGCCTGGCAGTCTGTCAGTGAACAGTGAATGATTAAGTGTACAGCACTCCTACCTGGCAGTCAGTGAACAGTGAATGATTAAGTGTACAGCACTCCTACCTGGCAGTCAGTGAACAGTGAATGATCAAGTGTATAGCACTCCTACCTAGCAGTCTGTCAGTGAACAGTGAATGATCAAGTGTGCAGCACTCCTACCTGGCACCACTTTTAAGCAAACATGTTTACTTCTTCAGTCTTTTCTACAGCAAGTCCAGTTTTGGATTTTACTAGCTGGTTCTACTTTATGAAACTATAGCACCTACTACCTCTACCTATCCTCCAATGAAAGCTTACTTTCTTTCCAAATTTATGGTGGCATACACTTTTATCCCCAACATTCAGGAAGCAGAGGCAAACAGGTCTCTATGAGGTCAGCCTGCTGGTCTAGCATGGTGAGTTCCAGACTAGCCAGGGACTAGTATAGTACCCTACCAAATAAGTAAATAAATATTCTCAAACCCAACAGGAACCTAAAGAAATAATTATGAAATTAAAGACTCCAGTATTATTTTATGATCAATAAATTGCTCTAAAAACAAGGTGAGTATATGAATGCCAATTACTAACAATATGGAGTAATTACTCTTGAATAAGGAGGATTCAGCCCGGCTCCCCTACAGACCAACTCTGCAGACGTGGGAAGGCCCACAGACACCACAGCTGTTGAAACCAGAACTGAAAGATTCTCCTGGGACTGCTATAATAAGGAATCATACAGCCTGCATTCAAACCTGAAGCCTATCACTTCACTATGTAACCTGGGTAACTCTGGAGAGTTTCTATGCCTCAGTTCCCTCTCCCTCCCCCCCTTGAGATATGAAAGCAGTAACATAAGAGTTTCTCCACAGACCTCTTCTGAGGATTATGGGGTTAATGCACATAAAGCATTGAAGATATTGTCAGGTGCTTGAAGGATCTGCTATGATTTTTTCCTCCTTCTGAACTCATGAATTGGGCAAGATAAAAATGCAAACTGCCATATGTGTTAAAATGTTCAATAAAAAACTGTGGGTTCTTAGAAATAAGAGTTCTTAAATAAAATGGGAGAAATAACCTATGACGGAAACCAGATAATGGTAATAAAAGTCAAGCAGTTACTGGGTGACGAGTGACACTGACGTACTTAGTCATGAAGTCTAGGACCATTTTCTGACACTAATAAAAGGTATCATGTTAAAGCTTGAACCCCCAAAAGGTCTAATGCCTCATGACAAATGGGGAGGAAGACAAGACTGATGACTGTTACTAACAACATCTGCTTAAATGCTTACCACACACGAGACTCCACCTAACACGTACTAGCCCAAAATTAGGAGGTGCATGGCATAGAGAAGGGAGGTATAGAGAGGTCAGGGAACACACAGCTAATACAAAGTGGGGCCAACAGCCGGGCAGTGGTGGCACATGCCTATAATCCCAGCACTTGGGAGGCAGAGGCAGGTGGATTTCTGAGTTTGAGGCCAGCCTGGTCTACAGAGTTAGTTCCAGGTCAGCCAGGGCTACATAGAGAAACCCTGTCTGGAAAAACAAAAACAAAACAAAAAAAACAAAAAAAAGTGGGGCCAACTTTCCAGCAAGTACAAAACTCGTGCTCTTAAACTGCTTAACATCCACACTTAGGGTGAGCCATAAGGCTACGTGGAGATTCCTAAGAAATGCCTACTAAAGCACTTGTGAATACATTCCACTAATGGGAGTAACTAGGACCATTAAAGTCAGCTTCTTCATTCAACAGCACACACTGAGAATGAAGAGTGCAATCAAGCCTATTAGAGCAAACTCCACCTCCCTCCTTAGTGAAGAGCTTCCTCTAAACTTGGCAGAAGTGAAAAGCTATGAGGTTAAACCAGACAGACCTGAGTAGCTTTGTTTTGAAGTCTTGCGCAGAAAGCCCGCACGTCAAATCCCAACGGCTTTTCTGTGGAATTAAAAAAAAAAAAAAAAAAAGACAGAAAATCTCAGCCATATTACTTTGAAACGTCCAACAAATTCTTAACTATGTGACATTTCCTGCCAAGTTACTGCAAAAGAAATGAAGAGAATAAATCAAAGCACCAGGAAGGAACCGGAAGCAGACCTGTGAGAACAGGTCACACTCACACCCTAAACATAATCAGTGTGAGGTTCTGATTTCCTCCTACATAACACATGACTGGATCATGCTTTCAAAGGTTTACTTTACAAGTATATATTTAAGAAAGAACGGAGAGAAATAAATAAACACAGATTAAAGGAAATAAGAAAAAGTCTGTGCTTATCTACGCAGCTCACCTTTCTTGGTCCTTTTACATGCTTTCACTGGCTGTCCCAGGTCCATACTGCTCTGTGGATTGCTTTTCATTTGTTCAGATGGTTTGGAAAGTCCATCTAAGGCGTCTTCACTGGTCTTTGGTAGTTGCTCTCTCATTAAAAACAGTTTATTTAGCAACTTAGTTACTCCTTTAGTAGCAAAAGCTGCAGGTGTTTTTCCCTTAAAGACTTCAAGGTAAGAGGGGCCTAGAAAGTCAGTGATGTCAGAGGGAAAGGCAAAATCTTTGAAGTAAGGCATGGGCTGAATCCTGGAGATCTCCTGATGCAACCCAAGCAATGGCTCATATAAGGAAATCAGCCTTCTCAAAAGTCCTTTATGGAGGACCCTGTAAAGAAAGAGAAGCTCGAGCCGGGCGGTGGTGGCGCACGCCTTTAATCCCAGCACTTGGGAGGCAGAGACAGGCGGATTTCTGAGTTCGAGGCCAGCCTGGTCTACAGAGTGAGTTCCAGGACAGCCAGAGCTATACAGAGAAACCCTGTCTCGAAAAACCAAAAAAAAAAAAAAAAAAAAAAAAAAAAAAAAAAAAAAAAAAAAAGAAAGAGAAGCTCTTTATATATACATAATATATATAATATATATAATATATATAATATATATAATATATAATATTAGTAATTCAAATGCTATTGTTTCTGATTAAGAATAAGCAGAATAAACTAATGAAAACAGATGTAGAAGAAGAATAGTAGGAGCCAGAAGGGTCAAGGATACCACATGAAAACCTACAGAATCAACTAACCTGGGCTCACAGGGGCTCATAGAGACTGAACTGCCAACCAAGAGCCTACATGGAACTGACCTAGGCCCTCTGCACATATGTTACAGTTTGAGACTTAACAGTGGAAGCAGGGACTGTCTCTGTTGCCTGCTGTTGGGACCCTTTCCTCCTACTGGGTTGCCTGGTTCAGCCTTAACAGGAAAGGAGGTACCTAGTCTTACTGCAACTTGATATACCAGGGCTGGTTGACATCCATGGGAGGCCTGCCCTTTTATGAGGAGTGGGTGGGGGGCAGGATGGGAAGGAGGAGAGGAGAGAGGGCAAATTTTTGTTAACAAATGTTTAAAAAAATAATTTATTTATTAATTAAAAAGAATAAGCAGAACAAAAAGATGATTGAAATTACAAATAAGATATCTGTGTTAAGACATCAAAGCAAGGTTTATATTTGATGGTAGGAAGAATCTTCTGGGTTGGTCTCTGTTGTTTTGACAGTTTTGCTACACCCAAATCAGAACTAATGATCCAATTATGTCCCTAGCTATCCATCAAACTACTTTATGCTCAAACACACACAAGGAAATGTCTTCTTTTTTAAGTTTATAAATATTACAAGTATTATTTCTATCAACCAAATATGTCTCAAAAGCAGCAATGTGTCAGGCAGAAGAGAAGTCTAGAGCATACAAGGAAGGTCAAATTGTATTTCTAATTTCTATTAAAATTAACAACCAGTTGTCAGAAAGAACCAAGATACAGCCAGCCCAGGAACAGCAGCTTTTTCAAAAGCCTACTACAATATTACTACTGCCACCATTATTATTATTATTATCATTATTATTATTTTCTATTATTATAGTTCCTAGGTCCTAGAGAATCACTTTCTGAGTTACTCAGTGTCAAGGTGAAGATTTCAGAAGAAAAGCCCTGACATAACTACCCAGCTAACAATGTGCAAGTCAACTGTCATGGGAAGAAAGGCAAGCCTGCACCTTCAGACCCCAGGGCAGTGGTGTGAAAGGGAGCTGTGTGAATACTAACAAGAAACTTGGGCCAGGTAAAAATGAACCACAAATGCAGAAATGTGAACATACCATAACCTGCTCACCAGCCCAACCATCACAAGGTTCAAAATAATGAATTCCTGTAGCCCTAAGTGCTTCACAGTCAACCTGAAGAATCAGTTTAAGGTAGAAAAACAAAACCAAGGGAATTTAAGATTTGTAACTCACAATTATGAAAGAACGAATTTCTAAGAAAGCTTTAAAGATAGTAAAGCCCTAGCATGGCAATAAAGTCACATTACACTAAAAGCAAAATTATCCATTCTACTAGAGCTCCAATTATTACAGTTAGTCTCTCAGTAAGAATGTCTAAAGGTCAAGCTCTCACTATACACGCTAGGTAGAGACACAGAGTCCCTGGCACCAGCCATGCCAGCAATTGCTGGAAGAGGAGCCAAAAGCCAAAGCTTTGAGAATTCCCACAGGTTACAGTGCCTTAAGAGCACAGCATTTGAACAGAAGCCCAATAGAACCAAACAGCTTCCATTCAAGAGAAGGCATTCCCGTACTCAAGGATACAGAAATGCTTTGCAGCAGCAGTCCAGCAAGCGCAGTAACAACTTGCAGCCTCCCAAAACCTTCATCAGCACCACCTCCACCACCGGCTGGCTCGGGACGACTCGGTTTTCGGTAGCTCCAGGCTGAGTTGCACTGACATACACAGAAAAGGACATGACGGTCATCTTTTAAACACAGCATTCCTGCAGCAGCATTCAGACTAAGTGGTTACACCCAGTAGTACTCCACTGTTCTTTCACTACAACCTACTGTGAGTCCCATTTCAGTGTCCCACCAGTCCTTCCCATCAGTCAACAGGTTCCCCTCTCTAACACACAACACAAACATCTTGGCATAGTTAATTATACCTCAACACCAACCAGAGAGTACCAAAGGGTGCTCCTGACAGAGCAATGGACCACCTACTTGGCAGACAACAACTGTGACAGGTCTTCAATTGAGCCCTCCAAATTCATGTGTTTCAAGCGCTTTAAGCACTGTTCTACCTGAAGGAGGAAAAGCAGCTCAAATTAGTATGTGTATATATAACAATGTCACAAATATAACCAAGAATGCAAAGAAAGCAAAGCATCTCACGGTATGGAAATATGCCACAGAAGGCCTTCCCATTTAAGGCCAAGGAAACCCAAATCCCAAAATATTTGCTTCTGCTTACAAATACAGAATTTCACCAACCCAACAAAGTTCTCAATCCAAGAAAATTACTACATGCCAAGTATACTCGATGCTGTAAAGTGACCAAAATGAATATAAGTCTCAACATTATAATTTGTTGAGGGAACATATTTATAGCAGTGAGCTTACTAAAACAGGAAAGCAAATTCTTAACTCAGTTTCAACAGTCTATAAGTACCAGAAATGAAGGAAGTGACTTAGTCACAGAATAACTATACTGAACACCTACTATGTGCAAGATATGCTAGGCAATAACATGGTATATGATACAATCCAATTTTTAGAAATAAAAACAGATAACATATCAAGTTCTTAACTAAATGCTAAAATGGATATGCTTTATTTAACACTGCAATCTCCCCTTCTCTGCTTTTTCCTTATAGCACTTCTTACCAGTTGGTATGCCAGTTATTGACTGACTAGCTGACTGACTGCCCTTTTCTCCAAACTATACTATAAATTCCCCATGGAGAATAGAACTTGTCTGTTTTGTTCACGAATATAATCCAGTTATTAGAACAGGGGTTAGTAGGTTCTCGTGGGGGGATAGGAGAAAAAGCCATGTAAAATACAAAATGCTATATGAATTCTCTAGTTGTCAGAAACACTCACAAAGGGCATTCCCTGGACTGTACCCACGCATCAGAGGATGATGGGAACTAATACTGGTCAATGCTGTTATCTTGTTAGCGCTACATATACACTAATAAAAACCAAATCAGACTTATGGGTTCTACTTCAGCAATAGCTCAATCCTTAAATTCACTGGATCTGGCTTTTTAATTTCTAAGTCTGGACCCCATCTTTTAAGATAGTTATTGACAGTCCAAGACAACAATCCACTTGGAAAATAGTCAGTGAAATATGATTTAGGGGAGGGGAAGGGAGGGAGGGAAAGAATGAAGGCAAGGAAGTTAGTAAACAAGTTTGATCTTGGATTCGAAAACCTGGGTAAAAGCTACCCTAGAAGAAAATTTAGGGAAAGATCATGATCCTCTTTGATAAGGGAATCTTCATCCCTTAGACCTTAAACAGTGGGAACATAGCTAACCAGAAAGAGTTAACTCTGTATAGTGAGAAACTGTGTCTTTTTCATACCCGTATATCCAACACATTGTCAACAGAGAACTTTGTGAGAAGTAAGTAAATACTGGAAAGATGGCTCTGTCACACAGTGCCTAGCACACTGTGCTTTTTAAAGGTACTTGCACTGGTACCAATGTGACTACGTGAGCGATACATGCAGAACCCAGCTTCAGCAGGTCTCGGCCATGTTAGAGTCCTGGAGCCAAAAGTCACAGTATTTTCTTAATCTCTAAAAAGTACATGAAACCATTCTACACCACAGCTTACCATAAACCCACTTACACCAACACACTGCTGATTAGATTATGACTCCAAAGAAGTAAACCACAACCCTAAACCACAACTGTTTTCTTTTTTAAGATTTTAGGGTTTAAATTAGTTTACTTTTGAACTAGGCAAAGGCACTGTTAGACTGTACATAGAAAAAATTAAACTGAAAAGACTCAAAATACACTTTTTTGTTGTTTGTTTGCTTGTTTTGAAACGAGATCTCTCTACATAGCCCTGGCTGTCCTGGAACTCACTACATAGACCAGGTTGGTCTCAAATTCATGGAGATCCGCCTGCCTCTGTCTCCAAGTGCTGGGATTAAAGGTGTGAACATCACACCCAGCTTTGAAATAAGCTTGATTATACATTACTTTTTGAAATGATTTTGGAAAAATCAAAGACCAAAAAAGCTAAAATGTAATTGTATCTTTTAGGCTTAAGAATCAAAATAATGTATGAACTTTCCATAAGTAACAAAACAGTAAGTGGCAGTGTGAGCCTCATGTTGATCAGTAGCAGACCACCTGTGGAGCATGGAGCTCACCTGTCTGAGGGCCAAATGGGGCTTGTGGTGGCCCAGTCTGTTGTGATTGCTGTAGAGAACTGAGCATAACACATCGACTTCCGCATCCAAGGTCTGGCTCTTGAGTGACTGTGTGACGAGGTGGCACCCTTTAATAGCAGCTGCAATGCAGACATCTAAAGCAGAGACGGTTAAAACGAGACTCGGTATGCATTCCTACATTTACCACACTGTATGAGAAACACATGAAAACATTCAGCCTTATTTGCTTTACAGAACTTAAAACACAAACCAGCCTCAACTATAAAAATGAAGGACTCTAAGAAAGACATTGGGAACTGAGGGCAGGTGATCAGTAAAGGAACATTTGTTAAACATCAATATGTGTCTGTCTTTATATCACTTTACTTTAATCATTTGGTGTACACTTATACCCCAAATATAAAAAAGCTTGGCCATGTTCCATCTTCTCTCTAAACCCCTCATTTTGTTCTGCAGGTGAGCAAGACAGAATGCATACAATGAGAGCCTTCAAAGGCAAAGGAACTGTATGTGGATACAATTTTTCTCTTTTTTTTTAAGATTTATTTATTTTATGAGTACATTGTAGCTGTCTTCAGACACACCAGAAGAGGGCATCCTGTCCCATTTCAGATGGTTGTGAGCGACCATGTGGTTGCTGGGAATGAACTCGGGGCCTCTGGAAGAGTAGTCAGTGCTCTTAACCACTGAGCCATCTCTCCACTTTTTGATAAGTATAATACATTCAGCCCTCTACCTGTGAGCACCAGCTATGTACTCAACCAACCTCAAACTGAATATAGTCCCCCAAAATTCCATCTGTAATGTATTTTAATAGCAGTCACATTGTATAGGATTTTATAAGCAATGTAGAGATAGTGTTAATGTATACAGAAAGATGTGTGTAGGTCCTACTGCAACTACTATCTACCATATTATACAGACTTGAGCATGTACACATTACTTTATAGGAAGGATTCCTAGAACCAATCTACCATGGATATCAGTGGGAAACTACATTCAGAAAAGAGAAACCACCAGGGCCACTGGAAATTGTATTATGTAACTGAAAGGGTATAAAAATGTTTCCTAATCCGAACGTGAGCAGCTGTGAAGCAGGTGTCATGTGCCATCTGGTGGCTCAGAAAGGAAACACAAACATTCTAAGTTAAAATCTCTGTTCCTCTTATCTAGAGAAATTAAATTGGCTACCTGGGTGGTGAGGAGTTGTTGAGCTTCCCATAGTATTGTTTTTAAAATTGTGACTAGAGAGGAATTCGAAAGAACTTTAAACTGCCTAGGAAAAAGAGGTGGGAAGAGGAGTGAGATGACTTGCTAGGTTATACTTAACAATTACCCAATGTGTCTATTTAATGACAACTACCGTCATTTGCCTGTCAAATCAGGCACTGTTACAAATGCTTCGTGGTATCGACATTTTCATTCCCTCAATATGGCCAAGAAGCTGGTACTATTTTTTATTCCCATTTTTGGGTGGGATAAAACCTGTTTTAGAAATAACAAAAATCTTAGCTGACAGTCATAGGACAAAAAGCAGGTTAAAAACAAAAACAACAAAAAGTTAGATATGACCATGAAACCTACAGCGTATATTGGTAGCTGTGTCTCCTGGTCTGACTGTCCCTTTGTGGTTAAACATCCTTCAAGCTGTAGGATGGCTACTCTCACTGCATTAAAAACTAAGGTACCCAGGTATTACCTCACAATTCGAAAGACCTCCACCTCATTATAATATTTAGGTTTAAATATTTTATTACGTTTTTAGGGTAGTGAGAGGGTTGTAACACAGCATTGAGTCCAGTGGGAGATGTAGAACATATTACTTGCAGAAGTTGGTTCCCGCCTTCTACCACGTGAATCCTGAGAATCAACCTCTGATATTTCATTTCGGTTTGGCCATATGCATGGACCCATCTTTTCGTCCCGCCCACCCAATAGGCTTTTCTAAAGGATCATGGGAAGAATGTTCCAAACCGGAGCCTGCCGGTGATTTGGGAGCGGGTAAATCAAATCTCCTGATCCCATGAATATGATAACACCTCCACAATCATATATACTAATATAAACTAAATTAAAATTCACAACACAGACCCCACGGACCTGCCACCTCTGACATCTCCTTGCGAGTCCTTGTTTTCTAAACAAATTGCTAAAACTGTCTCGGATTTTTTTTTTTCCTTAAGAACCGAGAGACCAGAGTAACGCCCTCGCCCGGTAAGGGGAAAACGAGCTCCGTATTTTAGTGACAAGCCGGAGGTCCGAGGCCCCGGTGCAGGCTACTTGGGTGACAGCCCCGATCCTTGGGGACAGGACAGGATCCAGGGGGCGTTTCGGGGTTACGGGCTGCACACGCCAGGCCGGGACTAGCAGTGCTTTCATGTTCCAGCTAAAGCACGCAGGAGCCCAGGAGCTTCCCAGCAATCCTCACGCCACACTACCCCGACCTTACGCCTGGTGCGCCCCTTCCCGGCGTGCCCCGCGCTCAGGAAGTCCCACCCCATCCCACGTGAGCCGGCCCGGCGGCTCCGAGAGACACGCTGAAGCTTGTCTCCGGCCTCACTCACCCAGGGTGCCGGTGGGGTCCTTCACCGTCAGTGTGCTGCAGTTCCCCGCCTGGGGGATCCTCACGCGGTTCCACGGCTCCGCGCCCGGCCGCACTGCAGCGGCCATCTGGAGCGGCGCGGAAGGGATTGGGAAGGCCGAGAGGGGCGAGAGCGAGTTGAGCGGCCTAGGCGGGAGAGGGAGGGAGGGAGGGAGGGAGGAAATGAGGCGCGAGGCGGGCCGGAGGGGCGCGGCCCGGGCCCTGGGGCGGAGTCACGGCCGGTTAGAACCTCTGGGAGAGGAGAAATGGGTTATTTTTAAGTTTCTTGCAGGGCATTCTGAGGCACCTACAAGTTTGGAACAACTTCGAAGCTGTGTATTTTACAGATGAGTCCGAGTGAGGCCCAGTTTTTTAACTCTTAACTCGGATATTTTGAAAAGAAGAACTCGGATCATATCAAATGTGGCTTTCATCATGTAGTTAGTAACGATTTCTTTTGAGTAGTCAAGGAAGTCTACATAGCTTGGATATAGCCCAACTTCAGTAATTACAAAGAAACCCATTATCACCGTCATTTTCTCGGGCAAAATATTCGAAGCTGTAATAATGGTTCTTATGTCTGATAACTGATGGTTGTTCATTCTAAGCCGTTGATACCTTCTTGCTTATTTATATTCATAAGGACATATGAACATGTGTCCGAATTCCTTTCACAATGCGGAGAGGAGCAGTTGGTGGGCATTAGGGACTGCTAAGTTACTTCACTATGTTTTCGGATTACCATATACTAGCCATATGATTCCAAAAAGTTAAATTTCCCCGGACCTCAGTATGCTTGTGAGTAAAGACTTCTCAGAACTGTGCCTGCTATACAAATTTCTACTCTTACTAGACTTTATTTAATGCAAGTAATCTTGCCCTACTGAAATGCTTTTTGTCCTGTTTGTTCCTTGCAGATAATTGCACTTTCGTCTGGACCATCTCCTTGAGACAATCTTACTTCCTCAATCAGCTCTGGGACCACTGTCTTTGATAATTCTTCCTAAACAAGTATCCTCACTTGATAACTCAGATGCCTCTTTAATACACTACCAAATGGCCTGGACGTTAGTTTCCTATTTGGGCTGTAACAAATTACCACAAATTTAACAGAAATCAACACAGTTTCTGAATTTGTGGAAGACAAATTATTTTTTTTAGTTGAAGATATATGGTATATTCATGTTAGAGGCTAAGGGTAGTGGTTAGGGTCTTCCTCTACCACTGTTCTTTGCTTTTGAGTCAGGTTCTCCCACTAATCCTGGAACTCAAGTGTTTGATGATCAGTCCCCAGAGGCATCTTTCTCCATCCCAACCAGTAGGGGAATGAGGACCTGAACTCAGTTCTTATATTTGCACAGCAAGGACTTTACCCTCTGAAACATCTCCCCAGCCCCAGGTCATTCTTACTGAACTAAAATTGGCTGTTTAATGGGCCATTTCCTCTGAGGGCTTTAAAGAAGATTTTCCTTGTCTTTTTCCAACTTTTAGTAGTTGCCTCACTCTTTGGCTCATGTCCACATCTTCCATGTTCAAAGTCACTACCTTAGCACCTTGCAAAATCTTACCCTGTTCAGAGGTGGAAAAAAGAGATAGAATCAAGTGTTTAACTAAAAGAATCCATTTGAATATTAAAAAGCTGTATTATGAACCAGAAAGGAAAGTTAAGATAGCTATAGGTAGGGGTATGTTTGTAATTCAGCGAGAGAAAGAGATAGGGAACCCAAGAATGAGAGGTCTGTGTTTTCATAAAGGAAGATCAAAGGTCATAATGAAGAATAGAGACAAGGAAATGGTGTTCTGTGTTCTATGAGCAATACATATTGGAATCAAAGCTTCTAGGAACTGGGCACATGGAAGAACCATAAGATAGTTTTTAAGTCATGCCTGGAGAACTTGTAGACTTTAGAGAAAGACTGTCACTGACACAGATGACAATCAAATATGCAAAGTCTTACATACCTTAGTAATCTAAGAAATGCATGTTAGATAACTTAGGTGCTAATAAATAGAAAAGGTGATGTCCTGTGTTACCAGGGACTTGTCAAGCATGCGTACATGTGTGTGTTCACATGCAGACACATATCCAGTACCTTTTGTAGTCCTAAAAATAGGAAATAAGTCTGGCTTGGTTTCACACATGTAATCTTAGCACTCAGAAGACTGGGTCAAGTGGATTTCCTTGATTTGGGTTACAAACTGGACTATATAGCAAGACAGCAGAAAATAGGAAATTATAGTGATTGCACTATAACCTCGTAAGAAATCTGTTGTTTTCTAATAGTTTGGTAGTAGGATTTTCTCCCCCTGAAAATCTTACAGTGATGTAAAATGTTTAAAGCAATACAGGATTGTATTGGGTAAGGGTGATGATGGGCCCTGCCATTAAGGCCCGCTGCTCTAGTTCCCATGGACGGTTCCAAAGCCCATACTTGGGAGTGGTTTGAAACCCTATGGTGCAAATAAATATGAGCAATATTCATTATAGATAATGTTAAAAATAGATGGTAAGCAATGTTATATGTTACATTATGGTGGGTTTTTTTTAAGATTATTTCTTTCTATCCAAGTCTACTAGTGTTTTGCCTGGAGATAGATATATATGCATTGCATGCTGCCTGATACCCATGGCAGTCAGAAGAGGGCACTGGATCCTGTGGGACTGGAATTGCACATGATTGTGAACCACCGTATGGGTGCTGGCAACTAGACCCAGGCTCTCTGCAAGAATAGCAAGTGTTCCCAACTACTGGCTCTTTTCTCCAGTCCCCTAAGAGATTTTCAAAAGCAGTTTAGAAAATGGTAATCTGTTGAGAGTATACATTTATACATGTGGAATGCTCTGGAAAATCCTAAAATGGTAGTAACGGGTCAGTTTCCATCAGTAAGGCAGACTTTTTTCTTCATTGACTTTTTATTTTCTATTTAAAAACTGAAAAATTATTACAGTGTTGAGGGGGAAATGCTTTAGTACTAACAAAACGAAACACTGAAGACTGTGTGTGTGTGTGTGTGTGTATGTGTGTGTGTGTGTGAGTGTGTGAGAGAGAGAGAGAGAGAGAGAGAGAGGGACTGAGACTGACTAATGCCTTTCAGCTCTATCCCCATGCCTCCAGCCGTGGTGCATGTTATACCACTATCACTATGGGCCACTAGGAGGATAACTTCAAAAGAGACTACCCTTCTACTCCCTTATTTTTAGCTAACATTGTTCTTCATTGTACTGGCAGTTGGCCCCTGACTCTTTCTTAACAGATTCTAAAAGCACCCACAGTAGTACCATCAGTGCCTTCTTGGTGACCTGTGTCCCAATTCTGCAGGTATCTTCCTCTAAAAGTCTACCTTCTCATAGCCCAAATTCCTGGTCTTGTTCCCCAGCTCCAAGCATGGTAACGGAAAGTTACTTGTGCTACTACACTTGGGTAGTTTTGCACTTCAGCTCTGAAATGTCTAATGTTTAATTCTTAGGGCAAACTACAGTCCTTGGTTTTAAGCTTTCTTTTCCCACTGGTGTCTTGAATGGGCTGGGTATGTGCAGTGGCATGTTGTTCTCCATATGTGCAGTGTCATGTTCTCCATATGTACAGTGGCATGTCACTCTCCACAAGTGCAGTATCATGTTGTTCTTCATATATGCAGTTTCATGTTGTTCTCCATTTGTCACTCTTCATATATGTCCTACAATTTTTAAAAATATGTTCATTTTTACTAAAGGGCTCTAACAGAGAAGATATTTGGAACCCGAGGTGGTCCCAGGGAACAGCCCCCTCAATATTGGATTCGGTGGTTGATATGATCATATTAGCTTTTTAACACAATACCAGTGTTTCTCATTAAGGCATTGGAATGTAAGTCTGTGACATGCTGTATCATCATGCTTGATCACATACGGTTGATTGAGATGAACTTCCTGAAGTCCACTGGGAACCAAAAATAAGTAGCAGTAATGCTTCTGAATCAACTGAAGAGCCTAAGAAAATGGCAAGACTGGGGTCTCTTACTCTTGACTCAAGTCAAAACTAGAGCTTTTGTGGTAACTTCAAATGTTTCACTAGCCTGTTAGATTTTCCAGCAGACATGGACTCGAAACACAACATTGTGGGTTGCAGAATTATAACTTAAATAGCATTTCTGTGCTCATAAGCCTCATATGTAAATATGATTAGTTACAAGAAAGACTTTGCAACTTGGCATGGGGACCAGGTACTAGGACTCAGGAAAAGCTGAGATCATGGATCTGCCTGTGTCTGAAGAGACTGATATGAAGACCCTACAGTGAGCTTAGGACCCACCCCAGCTGCTTCTCATTACCTCTAGGTCTCTGTCTAGATACAGGTTTGGATTTGTTCTGAAGAACAAAGTCTGGCACAAAAGGAAATAGTTTATACTGCAAAGTAATTACAGAATGATGCTCAATTTTTAGTGACAGAAACTCAAGTAACACAAATTTATTAGACCAGAGAAAATGCAGTGAACTAGATAAAATGTGCTGATATGGAAGGATCTAGAAGCCAAAAGTTGTCTAACTATGCTCTTTGCTGATTGAAGTGAACCAGCTGGAACCTATATTCTGTCGGGCTAACTGCCAGAATTGGGATAATTCAGAGGCTAAGATCCAAAGGCTTAGGGAATTGGAATGTGGTCTGAATATTCAACCCCAGTGGTACAGCCTTCAAGAGAGGTCAGACACAACTCCCCATGCTGAGGCACTGAGAATTGTGTCAATGAGAGGGTGACAGTATCTTCTGTGATAGCTGTCTTCAGTAGGTCAAATGGTAGTAAACAATACTGCTACAGAACTCCCTGGGTTGAATTGGGAATAGTAGGAACCCATAGAGACAAAGGTCAATAGGCAATAGTTGACTATAAGAAACAAAGTTGCTGCTTGTTTTGACCACTGGTAGTTGATTGATCAAAGTATCTGGAGGAACTAAATAGATCACAGCCTATTAAAGCATCATTTTGTCTATGTTACAGGGACCAGGAAACTGGGTTTTAGCACCAAGGTATAGATATAGTCTTAATTTCCAGATTTAAGTTGAACAAGATAGAATCTTTGATGAACAGTGAGCAAAGAACAATGTTGTTCATCTCTACCGTGTACAGTAACAGGAAAATGAAGATGTATAAACTTTATTGGTGTCTGGTACCTGCCACCCCCAATTATGGCACCATGGTAGTTGAGAAAACAGTGGAAGCAAGAAGTCCAGGCTCTCTGTGACCTTTCTTTCCACACAATCTCTCCAATAGGATTACCCAGACTCTTCCCTGGGAGCTGGAATTCATTATCATCAAAAGCTGATGCTGCAAATCCTCTTGGGGTTCAGACAAGGATGGAACTTCCATCATACTCTGCTGGACAAAACAAGTTGTGTGAGCAATTCCCAGGAATGAGAAAATAGATTCCATCTCTCTTTGGAGAAAGAAGTAAAGAAGCATCACTAGGCATCACGTGCACAGGGTGATGTGATCCATTCATTGGAGGCCATTGTTAACAAGTTACTATGGCCTGATAGAAGACATTTCATTTCAGACACAAACCTGGGGCCCATGTGCCATGCACACTTCAGGATAACTATGAATGTGGCCCAAACACATAACTGTAAACTTGCTTAAAACATTTGTGAGATATTTTTTGTGAACTTTATTTTTATTGTACTTATGTTTAACTCGATTGTGTGCTTCTCAAGTGTGAACCTTTTTCATAACAACTTTGTCACAGAGGAAGAAGATAGAAGTCTATCCAGGTCCAGGTCTGAGGCAGGAGTTCCCACAATCCCTGATCGCATGGTTTTCCCAGAATTCTAAGGGATATTTAGTTAAGGGATGTTAGAGTAATGTAGAAGATGATAGGGAAGAGGTAATTATTCTGTTCACTTTCTCTATCATAGGAGTCCCTCTCCAGTTTGTTTCATCTGTCACCCTAGGAACCTTCTAATCCACTTCTGTTTCAAACACTGACAACTCATAGCAAAAATGACTCCAGAGTTGTTAATTGAGACAGCTTCCTTTCTGACAACACCTCCTACTTTTCAGCTCCTCCATGTCTCCCCCATAGACCTGACCACTGTTCCCCCATTCCTGGGTACAAAGCTGTGCTGCCCTCTATACCCTGTCTTGGATTAAACAAAGTCAAACCACAAAGATGTCATTTTAAGACACAAGTTTTTGGGTTTTTTTTTAATTTTATGTATATGAACATGCTATTTTCAGACACACCAGAAGAGGGCATCGGATCCCATTACAGATGGTTGTGAAGTAGACATTAATTGAAAATGCTTGCTTCTAAGTGTAGTTTTTGAGAATGTCATTTTCAGAACTCTTTTTAAAAAAAAAAACATTTTAAAAAACACTTCTTTTAAAATGTAATTTGCATTCAAAAGTACTAAAGAGACAGCTTTTTTCTTGAATAGAGTGACTCCTAGATGTATGATATTAACGTTCCGTCGAATTCTTGAAGTGAATTTTGGTTAGAATTTGGCCCAAAATAGAGTGTCAAGGATGTAGCCCAGTGGTAGGATCCTTTCAAACATGAGCTGGCTGGGACTCCTGGACTGTTTCCTGAATCAGATGAATTTCACTTTTTGGTAGTAATGGAAGACAATCTTATAAGACTCTTATAATTAGCTCAAGATAGATCAGATAATCCATGAAGTAAAGGAAGCAGAGGCTGGAGTGGTGATTCAGCAGTTAAGAGTCTGAACTACTCTTGGAGAACACCCTGGCTCTGTTCTCACTCCTGTGGCACCTGGAACTTAGTTCCAGAGAGCCAGATACCTCAAGACCCTAAAGACACAAGGCACAGTACACACGCACACACACACACACGCACACACATGCACACACACACACACTTTAAAAGAAGAGGGGAGGGAAGGCAGAGAAGCAGAAAGAGTGAATGAGAAAAGCAGAAACAGAAATGAGAAGCAGTGCTGAGACATTAGACTCTTGTAGCATAACCAACTGTTCAAACCCCATTAATTGAACATAGCTCTCTTTCATAATATTTAGATTCTCATTTTAGCATGACAGAATAACTTTAAGGGTGGTTATCTCCCACGAACCTTAAATTTACTTAAAATCGATTCTCAATTCTGCCTTGCTCGGGACCGTCTTTTCCTCTAGAGGGCAGCATAAGGCTGTGACTAGATTACCATCTAAATTGGGTCACTGTGGCCTCAGAAGCCATAAAGAACTTAATGATTCTCACTTGGAGACCTGAGACAGAATAAAGAAAAATCCATTTACCTCTGCCAGAGAAGAGCCAGGTAGTCGAAGGAGTGTCCCACGGGCAAAGTAGATTTAGAGGCTTGGCCTGGAAGAGGTCTTGAGACCAAAGGTCTAGTTTTGAATAGGAGTGCCTTAATATAAATGTGTTTTCAAGGAGCAGAACCACCTGACCTGAAAATCACTAGACTCTGTGTGTGTTGGGGGGGGGGCAGTAATAATCAGATAATTGGATGCATTTTCTCAACATTAAAGTCTAAATGCCCAGAAATTGGACCTGAAGTAAATGGAATCATTATTTCCACTCTTTCGCAGCCCTGAGGCATAATTTCCAAGTCAAATTTCCAAGGTGCAAAGGCATTGGGTGGCTTGTTTTGCTTTCTTCTCCATTGCCAGTTTCCTCCTGAGAGCTGGGCATGGATCAGTAAGATCCCTCCACTGAGGCTGCCAGCAAGTCTGTGCCTGATTTGGCAGGTTTCTGAGAGGTACCAAGACTTCCTCTCACCAGGGCCTCTACTGGAACATAACACCCTGGAACCAAGCCAGGGACAGAGCCAAGCCACGTTTTCCATATCTGATGCTGAGCACAGGAGCCATCTTTTCTGCCCAAGAATCTGGGACTGGAATCTTTAAAGTGCTTGTCTGAGGACTTAAGTTGGTCAAGAGAGACATGACTCTACTTTCATTCCCAAGAGACCATCTGTGTATACACACACACACACACACACACACACACACACACACGAAAACATTTCAGTAGAATCATGTTACTAAAATCTTTCTCTTACTATGTCACTATTTATGTAGCCGGTAATTCTCACGAACCTATTATGGAAAAAAATCACCTTAGCAAAAGTTTTGCCTTGAGAGTAATCAGGGCACATATTCCAATAATGGCAAGGTGTTTTCATGTGATAAAGCCAACACATGGGGTTACACCTAACTCAGGTCAGCTCTGGCACTACAAAAAACCAAAAATATTAAAATTAGCATTGAGAATCTAGTTTAGTCATGCAAGAACTGGGAAAACAAGAACATTTATTTTTTGTTCTGTTCCTCAATAGCTAGAGCATGTCATGTGGTCAGTTAATATCTGCTAAATGAAGAAAATAGTTATGAAATGTAC